GCCATCACGAAAGTACTGTAAATACCAAGTAAAACGGCTCTTGTGGAGATATTGTTCGGGGTGTCTGTGTACCAATGTCGTCATCATCCCCCCCCCCCCCGAGTCCCGAGTAGCCGATTTCACGGGTGCGGCAAACACGCCGCTGGCTAGTAGTAGCAGTCTTAGTAGTAGTAGGTATAGGTAGTAGTAGTAGTCTTAGTAGTAGTAGGTATAGGTAGTAGTAGTAGTAGTAGTAGTAGTAGTAGTGGTGGTAGTAGTAGTAGTAGTAGTAGCAGCAGTAGTAGTAGGACTAGCAGTAGCAGTAGCAGTAGTAGTAGTAGTAGTAGTAGTAGTAGTAGTGGTAGTAGTAGTAGTAGTAGTAGTAGTGGTAGTGATATCGGTAGTGGTAGTGGTAGCGTAGTGGTGGTGAAAATGGTATTGGTGTTGGTAGTGGTAAACATGCAAAGACTGACTCTTTGAAAAGGAATTAGAATAATGACAAGAGCATGATGATGATAAGAATAAAAATATGAATAAGAAGACCATGAACACTGTGAGTCACACTATGCCATGCTACTACGAACACTCGTGGTAACACCAAAGAAGAAATACCCATAACTCAGAATAGTACAACTCATTTTCATAGCCATGATACGAACAATGACAATAAGATCAACAACAAAAACAAACAACTAAGCAGAAAAGAGTAATAAGAATAACAATTACAAAGATAGTGGCCGTTGTTTATAGTTGTAGTAATGGAATTGGCATAAGGTACATTTAGCAACGGGAACAACAGTAACAAAAAATATTACAACTAGTAATACGACGAAGATTCACCACTGAATGGATCATACTGAAGTTTATCCAAGGCATCACCCATAGGAAGTTCACCCAGCTCAGTCTTCTTTAGAGTGGTAAGCAGCTCACTCCGTTCCACTGAATGATCTTTGTGTACACCGTAAAGACTGCAGAGTAGTGCTATATACAGTCTGCAAAACTCTGAATGATCATTACAATGGCCTCTTGGTCCTCGGAGCCTACGTTCGTGGAGGCCGCGGTGCTCGCAGCAGCGGCCACCGCCACCTGCGCCTCCGGGGAAGCCATGGGCACCCTGTCTTTGGCTCTTGTGGCCCAGGTGGACAAACACTAGGTTCCTTACAAAAAAGTTTAAGCGGTTCCCTAGAAAAGGAAACCTTTCGTACTTTCTTAAACCCCTTTGCTTCCTTTGGAAGCCTCGGGCCAGAGATGCCTCAACATCACAAGTCGAGAGGTGCACAACATCGCGGAACACCAAGCAGGAAGAACACGAGACACGAAAAGCACCCACATGAGCCTTTTCCGGCTGTTCCGCTGTACTTGGAAATCTCTGGTTAATTGCCAGGCACTGCCAGGCACGAGGTTGGGTGAGACGCATGGCTTGGCGATGTTTCAATCGTGGTGAGGCCGGTAGCCTCCCACACGGCCGCCGCCGTACTGGACTTGTCTAGGCCTCGGATGTCATGAGACTGCGTGGACAGAATTGCTTCACCCTATCTACTGGCGCACCTTTGAGTCCCTTGGCCATGGATGGCCTGCCGCTCGGCGTGCTTCAGCACGAAGAGTCTGGGTAGCAGAGGACGGCAGTCTCCGAGAAGATGCTGCTCCCGAACAAAAGCAAGGACTAAGGACTAAGGCCCCGACCCGCCGCCTACCACGACACCGTAGACGGTTAGCAGGTAGGTGCCGATCTCGGTCATGGGCAAGCAGCTCTCTGACTCTCTTACACATAACTGGCTGTAGTCTTCTCCCTTTTTTTCATCCGGGCTGTGAAGTGAGCCCTGATACTCCCCCACACCCGCGAGCACTCAACACGTAGGCTTCCAGCCAACGAAGCAGCCGACACCAGAACCAGGAGGAAGAAGGCCAAGCCCGAGACCGCATCCTGCACTCTGCTCTTGCTGCACTTAGATATGGGTAGTTCTCTAGATTAGAGTCCCTTCTTTGGTCCCCAAAACAGGACGGCACCTGTATAAAAAAGGACCCTAAAAGGGACCCTAATTGAGACGAACGACCCATATTCTACTTATAAGATCATATCATGATACATTAGACTAGATTGTATCATGTTTCAATATAAGTACTCTGCTCTTAGAAAGGCTTCTTGAAGACTCGACGAGCACGCTACACGGCTGCCCATCACCCTTACAGAAACTTGCTGATCATGCTCCCGTGGGTGCATGCTGTCGCGACAATACAACATTAGGCGCATTCCAGGTGACATCTGCAGTTTGCCCATTGATCACCCATAAGCCGCACGGCTGTATGCTATTTTCTTCAAGACCCCTCCTCTTTTCTGTTGTCGCCTCGCAAATCTAAGATGGCGCCCATGGAAAGCCTGAAAAGGATATGACGGCCCTCCAAGGACGGGGTCCGTGAATCAGGGGGTCACCTCTCATTGAATAAATCCCCGTACAGCCCCTGCGAAACCAATGTCCCCACATGCCAGACCCTGGCCTCCCCGTAATTCACCAACAGCTGATAGACATGGTACATGAAGAAGAAGAAGGCGGAGATTAAGCCCAGAGTCAAATTGGCTGCGTACCTTCCAGGCGGACCGGGTTTACGGCTCACAGCGTCCTTGACCCTAGACCCTAACAAAGTGGCTCACTGGAAAGCCAGCTTCAGCAAGATACTAACCAGGGTCTCCTGAGCCGGTAGAGAATGGTAGTTGCATGCTGCAAGCTACTTGGCCACACTGTCTTTGCATCGTCCTCCTTCCCACCGAAGGCCATGAAGATGGCATCGAACCTCTGTGGTTTTCAACACAACAGCAAGCAGCAAGCACATGTGGAAATGGCCTAGGCTTTCCGAGAGCCTGGCATCGTGTACCTCGCGTTTGGCAGGTAAGTCTGTGAGTGATGTCTGGTGTCCCGAGAGTGAGAGGCTGCCCCACACCTCAAATCCTTACACCCTCCTAAACCCTAGCACCCCACACCCATTTTAGTGCCTGTATGATATCCCCCAGAAGGAACACTAAATGCTGGTGAATCCTAGGCAAAAGAGCTTGCCGATGCGCGCACCTCATGGCGAGATCTTTCCCAGACTGCCATGCGGCCCAGAACCGGTCCCGAACCTCCAAAAAGACACAAAGACAACCAGCGGGAAAGCTATGTTAAAAGTTCTTTTTTGTGAGGGCTTTGATATGCTTTGATTGTAAATGAATCGGGGAATACTGCTAATTCTTCAGAGCCCTTTATAGTATATATGAGAATTCATCGGTCTACCAATATATACCATGGGCATACGTGTTTCACACCATTTTATGTCAACTGTGTCCGGAACAAGTTCCGGTGCTCTGCCAGGGGAGATTTGGAAATTGCCACACAAGGGCTGCTATGATTCTGTCTATCTATCTATCTGTCTATGCAGGCCAGTGATACGGGATCCTTATCAGGACCCCTACATAGGGGACACGACGAGTTTTCTGAAGCCCCCATGTCGCAGTATGGTTTTTCTGCACCGCGCGCATCGTCTCTGACTGATGCGCGGCCAGGCTTCGATTGCATGTGTGCTTGGTCTGCCTAGGAGTGGGGTATGGGGCTCCCTCGCTCTCTCGCTCTCTCGCGCCCCTCGCAGGAGTTACAGTGCTGAAACAGCACGGGACGGGCGGCTAGCGGCTAAGCCCTGGGCTCAAATTAGAGCAGCGCTTGTCATTCCCAGGCCTCCTGGACTCCAAACACGGACCAAATGCCCACCTGTGCCGCTGGACGTCACACAGGCGGGGCCTGTATCCATCAGCCGGCGCCTCTCTCCGCGCGTCTTTCATGATTCGATCAACCTTCTGCTGCACCCTGTCGGCCTTGAAAAAAGCAACAAAAAAGTTGCGAGAAGCACCTCGGGGGAAGGGGCCTCCTCTCTGGCCATGGTGTACTTGTCATAAGCCCTCTGGCACTTCGCATCGCAGCTCCAGAACCTCAGAGAGCTCGACGACGAGAGTCACGAGAAACAGAGCAAGCTTTCAATGCCGAGCATGCAGCCAGCCCTTGGCATTGTGGTATTTATCCTAACCAGCACTGCCGGCACTGCTCCTCTGTCGAAACCCTGCGGGTTCAGGGACGTGCCTCGGCTGCTCGAAGGGACCTGCACGTGCATTGCATGCGCTGCCGAGGGTTTGGGTAAGGCAAGCACCTTTAGGGATCTTCAGTAGTGGCAGGAAGAAAGAGATGCCACGAATTCGTCCCCCAAAGACCTATGCCTTCACACAGCAAGTCCTGTCTGTGAGCGAGTCTGCGTGCTTTTTCCAATGACCACTCATGTTAGGGAATCCTGGATGCAGCAATATTAGCAGGCTAGAGCCTTGGGCTATGGAGCGCCGCAGTCCAAAGCTATGTCCCGGTCCTGAGCGCTGTCCGCAGCTCCTGATCCTAGGCACGAGAAGGGGAAGACGACAACGAAAGGAAACTTTAGTTCTGCGAGTACCCAACATCCCACCAGCTTGAGTTGACTCACGGTCCAGTCCTGCACCTCCTGCGCTTGTCGCACCCCCACGGCATACGTCTCCTCGGTCACCTCGTCGACAGTAAAGCCTGGCAAAGAAAAACGGAACAAAAACACGTCGCTTCGCTTCTCTATACCCCCGTCCTTTGGCGAAGGCAGCAATCAGCAGGCCCAGAAGCCACAAGGACACCTCGAGTACGTTTAAGGCAAGGCCTACATGGACCCAGAGTGAAACTCTGCTCCGAGGCCCCGGCAGAGACCGGCCGTCGCTTCGCGGCCCCAACCGCCCTGAAAGAGAGCTCTGTGCTATAAAAACCGTTCTGAAAGGCGGCTCTGAACTCAGATTTTACCAGAAGGAAAGGAAGCGAAAGTGCTGAGAAGGCTGGCGCGGAGCCGAGGGTCTCCACGATGGCACCTGTCCCGGAGTCGTCTTAGCCCAGGATTTTTAGTGCGGGTCGGGCCACGGCCAAAGCCATCGTCGTCGCGGCGCTGCAACTCTCGTGCCATTCGCCTGGAAACGCCAACCGGAGCATTGGACTGGATGTCTTCCGTAAAGGTCAGCATCTCTTGTTGAATTCCGAGCCTTCTATTCAGGATCTGTAGTGGGGGGCCCCTTAAATTACAGGAAACTACAGCTGGGGAGTTTAGGGTATATAGACCTTCTATATGGCTCTTATAGCAGTAACTACCCACCTGAAAATGCCCTAGATTAGATAAGTTTCTGAGATCCGGGGCCTGTGCCGCGAATCGCGCGCCCCTCGCTCGGACGCTTTGGCTTCCTAAGCTCTTGCCTTGAACCTATAATATTATATACAATATCATATATAATGTATGTATGTATGTATGTACGTGTATATATATATATATTTCCTATTATACACTCATTTTACCTTTATGTCTTGCTATCACTATAGGCTAATCATCGGCAGGAGCCCTAAGGAACAGTGCAGAGACCTGTGCGTTACTCCGCAGCTCTCATTAGAGAGCTCTTTTCTCCCGCAGTCTTGCCTTTCCCCGTCTCCTTCCAAAAGTATAAAACCGATAATCTTGATAACTCAAGTGAAAAATGGGGACAGGCAATAGCCTTGTGCCTTGCCTCTCCCCACCGTCCCTTTCAGGGGAGAGAGCTCCGCGAGCCAGATGTCCGAAGAGCCCAACTTGCCCCGATTGATCAAGGAAGAAGCGATACATCATTCGCACACCCGTGCTTCTTTACTCAGGACGTATACCACAAAAGCTGTTGTTTAAACAGATATCTCAATGGGTCGGAATAAGTTGGGCTCGAGAGATGTGAGGAACTCGGGTGTAGATCTCGGCGCTCTTTGGCACCTTCCCTCCTGCTCAGAGGCCGGCCTCCTCACAGCGAAAAGCAGGACACATGGAGCCACGGCGTACGGCTTTTTGGGTTCTGCACCTTAGGCCTCTGTTTTTTTTGGGGAGTTTGTCCAAAGAGGGCCCCGCTGCGTCCCCGATGCGGAAGCTCGGGCTGCTGCGTGGCAAGACCAGAAACCCAATTTACCCTTTTCGCTCCATGGGTATATCTTACTTCTTAGACCCTATCGGGACTTTCATCCTTGGTCACCCTGATGTCGGTCTCTCCGGGTTGAGGGTGGGCTCGCTCTGAGCTCTCCACCGCCCCCCCCACCAGACAAGCTCGCGACTGGAAGGCCGATGGAGAAAGCAGTCACATGTGGATACCAAGCTTCATGAACTCCGATGCCAATGCCGGAGGAGCCCTCATGAAACCGTAGACTCTTTCATCGAACCCTCAGCGCTAAGCACCCGGAACCCAACCCTCTTCCGTCGGTCTCCTCGGAGCCACTCCCCGAGCGGGTGCGCTCGACGAGCAGGGAATGATTCACTGAGGGTATCCGTTCCTCCAGCTAACATATGGATAGTTTGAGCTCAGAGAGACAGAGAGCCGTAGACTTCGATTTGCTGAGCTCTCTGCAATGTGGAGGTGTGGCCCGGCCACGGTCTCAGATTCTGGCCGTGGCAGAGCCTCTTGCACAGAAGCACTGCAGCCGTCTCACCCCTCGCGCTAGAACCCGTGCTTTTAAGACCGAGTGAAACCCCATGCAGCCTTCTGAGCAAGGCATCGCGAAAGTGAGCCCGCCTCCTCATCATCTAAGGACAAAGTGATCTCTTCGACGAGCAAGCCCTCGGCCTCAAGCCGCTCTCTCTCTCTCTCTCTCTCTCTCTCTCTCTCCGCAGCTCGCTGCTGCAGGGCCCTTTAGGCCACCCGACCCTGGAGAGGACTCGGTGGGTCTTCGGCCTGACAGGCACTGTGCCGGGAGCCGGGCGATAACATCACCAGTACTACTAGTATTGACTACTAGTATCATGATTACTACTACCATTATCAGTACGGTTCTTGTTCTCATCATATCATTGGAAGGAACTAGGGCTCACCAGTGTTGATGGAGAGTTTGAGGTGTGCTGGCTGGCGCACATGAGCTGCTGGAGCGTCAGCCGCTTCTTCACCGATCCTCGGTAGGGCCAGGGCTTCGAGGCAAAATGGCTTGGACATTTCAGCGAGGTTTGTGCCCTCACTGGAAAAACAAGAGGACGAAACCCCACGTAGCAGGGTGGGGTTTTTGGGGGGGTCTAAAGGCTATGGGTTTCACCCTAAACCCTAAACCCTAAAGGCTATGGGTTTAAGAACTGGGGTATGCAGGCTTCGGGTTGAGGCTCTCACTGTTTCTAGGGCCCATTGTACATAGGGAGCCCAGGCCCAAACCCCTCTCTGTTCCAGTGGCCATACGAAAGAAAGACACCCTCGAGAGCATCGTTTTTTGGGACTCCTATTTTTTTAAAGAAGAAGTACCCGGAGGTATGAAATTTCTGAACACCCCGAAACCTCCGACAGAATCGAAGGTTCTGGGCTCCCGGAGTGCTTTTAGCTGCTGAGCTCTTGGCCGTATCGCTCGCCGAGCTTGTTCAGCGCCTAAAACAGAAGAGGCCGAGTGAACCCTTGCTGGAGGGTGGAAGTGTAGCGTTGGGGAACCTGAATCCCAAACCCTATGCCTAGGGGGGAAACGCCTGGAAGTAGAGGATTTTGGTAGGACTTTGTGGCTTCGTTGTAGGATTTCTAAATCCTGCATTACCCATTTTAAGGAATATACCATCATTCCCGTAGTTCGGGGTCCTTAAGGTAATGCAGGATTTGGATCATCAGCAGCATTACACTGACACTAAGCTTGCTCATCATCAGAACCAGGTTTGCGCCTGCACCGCAGAGAAATCGGCCACATGCCCAGTCTCGAACACCAGACCTGGCAGAAGATCATCTCGGAACCAGGCAAGTTCCAAAATCTCAGATCGGCTGGGAAAGAAGAGCACAGAACATAGTGAAACATATCTCGGCTAAGTTTTCTCCATTTTCGGCCGCTGAAACGTGTTGCGCACTGCAACGCTGTAAGCGCAGGCAGAGCCATCGTCGGCCGAACCATTGCATGGGCCAAAGTTGTCGCGCAATCTTGCCCGATGGCATGCCTTTAACATCTGAACCCAAGCTCTAAAACCAATGCTCCTCTACCAAGGTGGTGAATCTTACGGGCCAAGGCCGTGGCGCACGTCTGCGGGATCTTTGTCCTGACAACCGCAGCCAATGACGGGTACCCAGGAAACCCAGGGCCCTCGTTTTTCAGGAACTTATCCTGGACTGTAGTAGGTGTGGCAATGCAGCAACTGTTTTTTGTAACTATTCGGGCAGGAAGTCTAGAGATTCAACAACAGACTCCTGAAGATACTAGGGGCTGGCTCCTCGTTGAAAAGCTCCAGGAAGTGCGTGGTACTTCCAAAGAAGAGCGTGCCATGGACATCATACACCTGATGCGCGACGGCCGAAAGGGTACAGGCCAACCGGGCAAGCCTTTCAATCCAAACCGTCCTTCTCTTTTTTGGGTCTGGCAGCTGGTCCGAGAAACTATCAGTACTCTATATTCTATCGACTAATTGCTTGATTTGTTGCTCGTGCTTGCGGCCGGTCGGACAATTGTGTGTGTTTAGGTGTATTTTTGTTCGGTCGGAGAAAAGCCAAGTCTTGTGCTCTTGGCAAAAACCATTCCAGGAATAGTGGCGTTTTGATCCAGTATTGGGCCGATTGAAGAAACTCTCCTGGGTGCTCCGCGCATTTGGGCGCTGGTCAATCAAAGCGTCCTTGAACAGTTGCACAGTTGATCGTGTTTGTGGTCGGGATAGAAACCGGTCATGGAAGTTTCGCGCATTTGTGCTTCTGGAAGCTGGCCAAAGAAACGTGTCCAAGAATGTTTGTCTGTTGGATCGGACTCTTGAGGTACCGGGCAACTTGTGCTGCTGGTTTCTGAAGCATCAGTGCCTGCCATTTCCTTGCTAGCGTGGCCTTCCAACGCGGATGCACTTCCGAATGTTTCAAATTGCTCTTCTTTGCCACACGAGAACCTCCCTCAACAGAAGCTCGCGATGTTTCCGTGCATATTTTGCTCGCCACGGAGGAGGATCGCCAAGCGCTGGCGCTCGCAAGTTTTTTGTTCCAGTGGTTTTTGACTCCCTCGGCCAGACAGCCAAACCTGTCGGTGGGAGGTGTGGCGCCGTGTTAAAGCAACCAAGCCTGTCAGCCAGGATTGGGGTAAAGTCGTTGTTGGTGCGGAGTTGCGGCGCCGTGTTAAAGCCACCAAACCTGTCAGCCAGGATTGGGGTAAAGTCGTTGTTGGTGCGGAGTTGCGGCGCCATGTTAAAGCAACCAAACCTGTCAGCCAGGATTGGGGTAAAGTCGTTGTTGGTGGGAGTTGCGGCGCCGTGTTAAAGCAACCAAACCTGTCAGCCAGGATTGGGGTAAAGTCGTTGTTGGTGGGGAGTTCCGGCGGCATGTTGAGGCAGCCAAACCTGTCAGCCAGGATTGGGGTAAAGTCGTTGTTGGTGCGGAATTGCGGCGCCGTGTTAAAGCGACCAAACCTGTCAGCCAGGATTGGGGTAAAGTCGTTGTTGGTGGGAGTTGCGGCGTCGTGTTAAAGCAACCAAACCTGTCAGCCAGGATTGGGGTAAAGTCGTTGTTGGTGTGGAGTTGCGGCACCATGTGAAAGCAACCAAACCTGTCAGCCAGGATGGGGGTAAAGTCGTCGTCGGTGGGGAGTTGCGGCGCCGTGT